GATAAGTAGAAGATTACTGCTTTGTTTGTTTACTGGGTTGGGAATCCCTTAATTCCTGCCTGCCACTGCCACCGCAGTTGCGAGATGTCCATTCCTGGTGGCTTGTTTCATACCACACGAGTTGGTCGAGAAACTTCTGGCAAAAATAGTTTTTTATGGTCCAAGTGACTATCTGGCGTGATGGTAAGAAGAAATCAGAGCTATCAATGAAAAACGTGCACGGTTTTCGTCATATAAACATGCATGCTCACTCTGAGGGTATATGGTACAGAGTTGCGATAGGTATCTTGTAAATGGTGAGTTTTCCTCAAGTTTCTGGGTACGTTTTGTGATTCACGATGTTCGTGATGTGTTCAACGGTGTGCTGTATTTAAACACATTGTGGCCAGTGGTTGCATTGTGGACTTTCTGTCGCCACCTACGCTACTAAGAAACCACCCTTGGCAGTTAAATACATGAGTTACTGTCTATAACCATCTACGATACTCCATGTTCTTAGTCATACTTGAGAAATATTTTCTATAAAGTTTAATGGGTCGTTGACGAGCACAATTCAAAATATCAAGAGCGTTTTATTTTTGGAGAAGGAGAGTCAACTCATTACAGAAAGAATACCAAAATCATGTTTTTCATAGTTAGTTATGCGTTGTCTCTGCAATCTTCCTCAGTACCAAATTAATGCCTCATAACGTATAAAGCTATGTTCTCCAAACTACCAAAAAATTACATGACATTTTTACGTTATTTCGCTTTTTTGTGGATATGCCACTGGTCTAGTTCACACGGTCCGCTGATTGCGTTTTCCTGACCTAACTATTGTCTATGGCGTCTATGTAGTTTTGCAGACAGTGGCAACACAAGGTCAGATCGTCTGGAGTTAGCTCTGCATGGTGCCCGTACACATTCAATGACGGAAAATGCAGCTGCAAGGAGTCTAGACCGCTGGCATTGTATTACTAGGAGTACGCCCGGGGCGCCAGTCTGTATGTGATCTAGATAAGATAGCAACCGCCCCGAGCGCCCCGTGAGCCAGGCCAATCACTAAGGGGCGGAGGGAAGGGGGGCTAGTGTCCCTCTCCCAGGAAGACTGAAGTGTCTCCGCCCCCCCCCCCCTCCCCAGACGGCCACACCCCCTTCCCCCCCCCCCCCCCGACTTCTGCGCGGTTGCAGCAGTCTGACTTTACAGCCACCGTCTAGTGAAACCATTTCTGCTCCCATGCTGCGTCCCATGCACAGACAGTGACAGATTTGAATCAAGTTTTATAATGGACGTAGTGGTGGCTGTGCTTTTGGTAGTCTTTGAAGCGTGGGTCCGTTTCTGGGTTGATGCTACGGTCGGAGTGAACAATTGTAGTTGTGGTGACTCCTGTCTTGTGGTGATTGAGGCTCGTGGTGACCTCTCACGTGGTTACCTCTCCACGTGGCGACTGGATCACGTGGAAGAGGAACACGTGCAATTTCACGTGGCATCTCGCATCCCAGGCGGCTCACGTGTTACTCAAACCCGTGGCGACTCATCTCTGCTCGCATGTGGCGAATGGCGATCCACCACGTGGATCCACACGTCGCGCTTCCTCTCACTTCTCACATGTCGTCTCACACGTGGCGGCCGGTCGCGCCGCAGCAGCTCACTCGGCTCACCTCTTGCTGAGTCAGTGAGCACGAGTGAGTCAGACGAGCCGTCGCCCGCCCGGGACAGTTCGCTCCCAGCGGGCCTCAGCCGCCCGGCCAGCCATCAGTTGTGTACTACGCCCGCCGACGACGGCACAGCGGAGAGTGGCGGTGGGGAGAATCCTCCTACGAGTTTTGCTTTGTTTCGTCTGGTCGCGGTTCGGCTTCGCTTCGTTTCGGACTTGACGGCAAGATTGATTGGCTGATGGCTGCAAGATTGTTCAAACTTTGAGTGGGGAAGTGTCTAACCCAGCACTTGGCGTGTGGAGTTTGTGATGAGTGTGGGAGTTAGAGTGTGATGTGAAGAGTGTTTCCGGTGGTTACGATGTGGCTGGAGAAGGGTGTGAAGAGAGTAGCGGAGCTGCTGCCACCTAGGGGCGTCTCGCAGAAACATCGCCGAATCAACCGCGATGAAGCCGCCAGAAACGGTGAGATTTCGGGTCGGGGAAGTACCTAAGGCCTGAAAGAAGTTTATTATAGCGCAAGTGAGTTTTTTAGGTTTTCGGTCAAACATGTTTGCGGGAAATGGCTCAGCACTGCTAGCGTTTACCTGCTTGAACGGATCACAAAAATAATCACGTTATCCTTTTATTAAAGTCACTTTAATTCGAACCTAAAACACCTAATGGGCATTGTGACCAATTATGCTTAGAAAGCATTTATTAAATACCTATCAACTATAGCTTGCTGCCTAATCTCAGTTTATCAATCCTCCTTCCCACTCTGCCACCACAAGTTTTTGTCCCAATTGACCCCTCTTCCCTCACCGTGTCCTCTCTCGCCTGGAGGCGCGTCCGTCCCGTTCCCCGCGACCCTGACCGCCCCAGCCCTGGGTGGCGACCTGGCCAGGCCGTGTTGTCTGGGGGCGCACCACCGTGACCACTTGGCTGGGGTTCTGACGGATGCTCCTGGCAGAAGACGGAGGTCGTGCCGTCTCACTGTCCCCCCCCCCCCCCCCCCCAGAGAAATGGGCGGGAGAATGGTGGCTTGCCATGTGAATTATATGGGCGGAATCTAAATGGGATGGGTGGTTGTATTTGGGGTATCCTGTCTGTTTACTTTTTTCACTGAGATTGATCATTGCTGGCGAGATCACTAAGCATTTACCAGCCCCACCTACCAATTACCAACAGTAGTTGTCATTTACCAGCAACTTACCAGCTATCAGCTATACTTACCATTTACCAGCACAATTACCAGTTATCAGCGACACCTACCATTTACCAGCGCTAACCGACCAGTACCGCCCCGCGTGCCCATTGCTGATCCAGCTCTTCAAGCATTCGTATCGTATACTCTGCTGAGTACGGTCGACGATGGCGGATATCCTGTGTCTCCACGAGCGCCGCCCACCATGACCGTCCTGTGAGCCTTATCAGCTCGGCTGAGCGGACAGAAAGGCGGGTCGTTTGTCGGTTCTGGTTTCGGCTTTTAGTTTGTCGTCGGCGTCGGCGTTTTACTGAGCGATAGTATATTGGTGTGAGATGAGGCCAATATTGCAGGGGTGGAGAAGGATTAGGTATACGATGTAGGATGAAAAGGGGTAGAAAGCTAAACGATGAGGTGTAGAAGAGGTAATGGACATAAGGGTAGGAACCAGCAGGGATATGTTTGGGACGAATATCTCAAGTTGGATTTGGTCGTAGGGAAAATTCAAATCTTCACTTAATTCAAGATCAAAGATGTTTGTCGGATGTCGTTGGACATACGTAAAGGCCTGGCCACACTATGCGTTTCCTGCGTGCGTTATTTGCGGGTTCGCGCTTTTTTGCGGAATATCGTTCTAGAGAAAAGTTATAATATTATTTTTACATTAGTAGTGCATTAGGTATATATGTACAAAAGGTAATATAACTCTAATATAAACTAAAAGTTAATATAAAAAAAACATCACAAACACGTTATATCGTCTTTTTCTAGAAAGATATCACGCAAAACACACAAACCCGCAAAAAACGCACGCAGAAAACGCATAGTGTAGCCAGGCCTTAACGCTAGATGTGCGGCATGAAAGTGGGAGATAAGACCCGTTATAGGGTAGTTATAGCTAGCTCATCACAGGCCACAACAATGATAATTGTTAGATTGAGATATGGCTTGGGCTCAAAAATGATCAACTCGCAAATACCTTGAATCTGCAATAGAACGAGCACCGATTGCATTCATCTCCCCCCCCCCCCCAACAGGCGCTCACCAAGTCTCATCGTGACTTGCTAAACCCGTAACGCAAGCCTCAAGCTGGTGCAAACTGCTGTGGCACGGAACATCGGAGATGAGCATTGCGATTAGGATGTCGTGAGGCTCGCCACATCACGCGTTATCTAAAGACCGTTAGCGTTTCGTGTGGTATGAACTATCAAATAAGCCAGCCGCCCCGCGCAGTCTTGTTGCTAGCCTGCTCTGGAATCTGCATTATTTGGTTCTTACGGCTCGTGCGATAAGCAGGTATGTCTGGTTAGGTTTCTTTTGCCCAATTCTGCTTCTTTAGATTGTTACTGCCTTCTGGACATATTGACGATCTAGCATTCGTCTAAAATAATGGGCGCCGATGACCACTGTAGTCCGAGCGCCCAAAAACCAATTCATCATCATCATCATTCTTCTAAAATAGAAGAGGATCATTTGTCGCCGGAGTCCTGGCCTCTCCTGATCGGTCGTTTCCAGACGGTTTGGGCGGTTGGCGCGGCAGGTCCTGCCAGTCCTGGACCTCAGACGTCCTTGTGTGACGCTCTGGTCTGTTGTGCTGCCAAATGGCTCCCTACCAACTGTCATTGCTCGCCGCTGGAGTGCTGTCAGTAAGCTCAGCAAAGGGAGTTAGTTCAGCAAAGGGAGGTCGGTCATCCAGATATATACAGTAGTGATTTCTGGATTAGATCTGTTGTCCAATTGTCCAAGACATGGATTCATGGTGATTGGTGATGCTTTACGATACCATACGCCATGGTGGAATCTGGCATGGTGCTAAATTACGCGGGTCTGAGCAAACTGCAAGACTGTGGAGTGATGGATGAGCTAGCGGTGCAGCTTTGCAATTCTGGCAAATTAATTAATCATCTTCGACCTTGTACTTCGGCTCATGCTGTTAATTCATTCAGTCGTTCTCTGTTCTCCATTTCCAAACTGATGCCTACCTACCTTCCCTGAGTCCCACGAGGCTTCAGCCCTCCTCAGTAGCGTCCTCTGTCCAGTCCCACCTCCCACCCCTCCTCGCAGACCTCTCAGTCCTACGCCTCCTGCCATCTAGCGGCGAGCCGCCAAACTATCGCCGGCTCCTCGCCGGTCACGTGGTACCGTTGGTGGCTGTCGTTGACGGTCACGTGGTACTGGCCAGTGATCAATAGGAGGTCGAGTGAGCCGGTCGGCTGCGCCTGGCGGCGGCGGCGGCGGCGGCGGCGGCGGCGGCGGCGGAGGCGGGTGTAGTGACGGCACGGATCTAGAGCCGCCGCACGTGTCTGAGATAGTGCCGGTGGAGGCGGCGGCTCACGCGGACGCGGGGTGCTGTTTTTGGTGCCCGGAGTGTGTCATGACGTGATGACGTTCGCGCAGTGATGTGTCGACGTCAGTGACGCGAGCGAGCCGCGCCAGACGGGTGTCCGTTGGCGGCGGAGGCATGAGCCAGCGGCCGCCGCACGTGCAGATCGGCAGCACGCGACGCGGCACCGTCTCGCTCCTTATCGACGGCTACCCATTCCAGAAGATACGCGACTCGGAGTCGCGAAGTTACTGGCGCTGTGCGCGACGCCAGTGTAGTGTGCGCGCCGTGCGCGAGAGGGACGTCGTGCGGTCAGTGTCTCACCTGCCTCACGATCATCCGCCCCCTCCGTCACACGGAGGTGCCAGCGTCACACCTGTGACGGGAGTAACGCCAGGTGTGCCTGGCACGTTAGCGGAACCGTGGCAGCCTCTGCAGCATATAAAGACGGAACCCTCCCCGGCTGCGTCGCCTCTGATGGAACCCAGCGCGAGTGGTACAATCAGTCCCGGGATGGGAGTGTCGCCGGCGCCGGCGGGAGTGCTCGGAGTGTCGGCAGGAGTGTCTGCCATGACTGGTGTGGTGTCTGGAGGACCAGGAACTCCCGGAGGTATCCCTCCGGGCTGCGGAGTCCCCTCGAGCTCAGCCATACCCGTCTGCGGCCCCGGACCTGGCGGAGGCACAGGTGCAATTCCCACGTCTTGCCCATGCCCATCGTCCGTCCCCAGTGCGGCTCCAGGGCGACCCACCATGGAGAACGCTGCCATGATCGTACTGGCCAGCAGGAGCACAGGACGGCTGATGATGATCGTGGATGGGTACACGTTCGAGCAGACCACTGCCACGGATGGCGTGACCCTCTGGACTTGCTCAGAGCGTCACTCTGGCTGCACGGCGTGTGTGGAAACGACAGGATCAGGCGTGGAGAATCTGTCCGGGGTGGGGACGGGGCTGCCGCACACGCACGCGAGGAACTATACGAGGTTGCCGGAGAACATGGTTCCCGCCTCGGAACTGCCCGATGGAGAGAGACGAGCGCTGGAGTCTGTGTGCGCGTCGGGACTGCGCGGTGGCGGAGGCGGTGGGGGAGGCAGTGCTGGAGGAGTCGTAGGAGGTAGTGCTGGAGTGGGTGTGGTAGTTGGAGGTGGAGGAAGGTCGGGTGTGTCCCCCATGGAGACTCAATCCGCACCAGAGGCTCCTCTGGTGGCCAGGGTGCGACCGGCTTCCCCCTCCACTGACCCCGTGCCAAAGAGGACGCGTGTCGAGCATGAGGCAGCGATTGTGGCGAAACAGACGCGAAAGCGACCACGCGAGGTCGACGCGTCGCCCCCGTCGGCAGCTACTGGACGTCCCGAACTCTCAGCGGAGATGACGACGGGGGTAGACGGTCGTCCGGAGCTGGTACTTGAAGGGAACTGTTATCGCTCAGTGTCGAACGGTGGTGACTCGGGTGGCAGCTCGCGGTGGAGATGTGTTACGTCGCACTGTCCGGCAGAAGCGACCTCAGTGGCCGACAGACTAGTCTCTCTGTCAGGACTGCCTCACCGACATCCTCCGAACGCCCCTCACAACGTGTTCTCGGCGAGGATATCGGAGCGACCACCTCCACCTCCTACTGTGAAGGTGCGCGTACAACCCGCGCTGGCTCCTCCAGCTCCGCCGAAACCTGCGGTCACTGTTCGAGTACAGGTCACCGGAGGAAGGGGGTGCATCTCGCGACCTGCCCCCACCGCTGCGGTGGCCGGAGGGTCCGCCACGCCTTCCACGGACGGATCGGATGACGTGTTCATGTGTTCAGCGCCGTCAGCGAGCTCCAAGACTGCGCTGACCTCAGGCGTTACCACGGCGACGACGCATGTGATGAGGCAGACCGGAAACGGTTAGTAGGGGGACCTGTGGCGAAGTATTTTGTCTAAGTAGACGTTGAAGGAAGACAGTTGTAACTGGTAAACATGACACAGGAAAGGTAAACATTAGGGAAACCCCAGATTCTCCTGAAGCTGTCCCGGCTATTTTCTTTCAAATACTATACATTGCCTTTTTTGCACTAGCTAAAGCTATGAGAAAAAATGACCCTCTTTCCCTAAGTTGTTCTCCGTGGGGCGTACATTACAAACTAGTTCCATGAACCACTTATGACCACATCGATTGCACATCGCGCTAGTGGCTGGACTAGTCGTGGAATCCCCATGTTTCATTCATGTCAGTCGCTGCTGGAACCAAATGACGGTGACGTCATTCTCCGATTTACATATGATACACACACTGACATAAAACTAGTGTCATTTACTGCCAGCGACACACGTCATATTGCCGTTTGCTATATTTCTGGCGCTATTGTGGTGATTATTGAACTAGTTGTCACACAAATTTGTTTCTCTGCGCTGCTCTATAGGTGAAGCTGTAAGGATGATCTGTCCTTTTGAATAATCATTTATGGTCTTATCACCAAGCTGATAGGGAAAATTGCTGCCAGTAGCTGCTAGCTACTTCAGTAGTGAGTTAGTTTCCGGTTCTCAGAAGGCGATAGTGGGCAAGTCACATCTATGCACATCCTACCACACTTTACTCTGCTACATCATATGTACATTTTACCCGAAATCGGGCCAGAGGAATGACTTGACTGTCAGAGGCGTATTAATGTTTCTGTGATCTTCCATCCGTGAATTCGTGCGTATGCTGACGTAACTGGTTCGAGCAACATCACCTCTGTAAGGCATTCAGACTGTCCTTGGTGTCTGCTGACATAGCACCGGCGTGAAGTGACGCAATAGCGACGTTTTACGACGCAGAGTGACCTGCAGCGGTGCAGCGACGGCCTTGGGTGGTTCGTGTGAGACATTTAGTGCCGCGCTGGCGGCGGGATTAGGCGTACTTGCGCCAGACGGGAAATAGTGACGTGGGCATTCTCCCATAGAAACAGCAACTGCTTTTTACCGGGAACATCTAGCCACCTGCCCGTATTCTCTCATGGCACTTTGAAGATCAGTCTGGTACCGTTGTGTACTCAAAAAGCATTGGTCATTCCGAACTAAGTAGGGGAGAGTGGGGTAATTTGGCCGCTTTTTTTAGAAAACGATGTAACTTAAAATTGACGACACATTTCTGCATTTTCTCAACGCTGGCAGGTGTCGCATTCATTTTACTTTACTGGACAGTGAACTTGAAATGATAGAGTAATTACTTATATTGAAATTGTGACGTATTATAAAGGTCTGCAAGGCGGCCAAATTGCCCCACTAGCAGGGTTATTTGGCCGGGGGTGTGGGGCAATTTGGCCGGTGTTAGTTTGCGGTCAGGATTTTCTGTTATATTGCGAGTCAGCATCAGATTCAGCAATGACGTGTGTCCTATGACGCATTTACCACATTTTGGAGGTTGACTCATGGGGTCACAGGGGTCAAAATAGCCAAATTAGCGGCTCTAGATGCGAAGACAGTTTTTTACGAATAACTTTTGAAGTAATCAAGCTAGGCCAAAACTTCGAGTACCATCGTAATTATCTCGTCATTCCGCATCAAAAAATATATGTGTTGACCTCGAGAAGTCAAGGTCAAAGGTTGACCTCAGGTCACGTTACCTCAGGTCGCTTGACCTCAAGGTCACGTGATTTCAAGGTCATCATGCATATCATTCGATGCGCCTTGGCGAGCTGAACAGAATGAGACCATTTGTGCGGCTGTACCATTTTTATGTAAGGATTTATTAGCAAAAAACGTTTGGTAACCTTTGATGACGTCACATGCTCTTACAGTTGACCAATCGGAAGTAAGGCATCAAAGTAGTCAAAGTTGGTCATGAATTATGTCATTTATGGTACAATTGACCATGAAAACTCGGCCGTCCCAGCATAGTGACCATGAGCGCACCGGCCAAGTTGCCCCGCTAGTCCCGGCCAAATTACCCCATATTGCCATTCTGAAAATTTTTGTGTATAAAGTCATCACGACTATACGGAATTAGATGAAATTGCTCTTGGAACCGCTGAACACCCCCAAGAATGGCGCTATAATGTCTGAATTCGTTTTTAGCCCAAATACTACATGTTATACAACTTTGTAAACAGAAGTAAAAGTTACCATTTTCTAATGAAATTAACGTTTTATTAATTTTAAATAAAACTACGAGGGGCAAAGTTTTGACATTTGTCCTCCAGTTATTTCTACCCATGACAAATGAATAGAGACTAGAGTTATTTCACTCACTTTTATTAGACATCGTACAGGTGGGGGCGGCCAATTTACACCACCGGCCAAATTACCCCACTCTCCCCTAGGCGATTCCAGCGCTGTTTGAGTGCTGCTTGGTGTCGTTTCCGTTTTCAGTGTTCTTCTGGAATAGTAATGTCGCCGCATTTTAGGCCAGAAATGACCACCGGTTTGTCCAAAAGTGGTCGTTCGCTCTGGAAGTGGTTGCTGTTCTCTTTTCTCAGAAGACGCTGCAGCATGAGTAGGATTCCCACAGCTGAGTCCAGCTAAGCTTTCTGGGCTTGGGAGGATATTTCTACCTGTGATTAATTGAGGTCTGAAAGTCAATGAAAATTAACATGTTTTCAAACTTTAGATCATATCGTGCACAACGATGATAGATAGTTTTTTACCAGTTCAAAGTCGAAAATTGGCTACTTGCTTGTGGGCCTAATGAATTTACATGCATATTCCTGGCACCAAAATGTATTCGGTCTTAACCTGAAATACTATTGTTGCTACTAATAAGCAATGCCGAAACAGCGTAACAATGCCGCTTAATTTGTCATATGCAACCGCTACCATGCTTGCAAAGCTTCCGCAAAGCCGTCCGGTTCTGGCCATTGTTCTGCAAGGATTAAAAGTTTACGTACAAGTTCTGGAGTTTTGGATTGAATCCAGAACATGAAGACTTTTGGCTGCTGCAGCCGCACGATATTAATTTGAGTTGGTCAGAGTCTAGTACAGGCTGGAACTGTCCTCTGCCCATGCTTATTGGCGGACCCACGGCGGTAAAGGCTGCTTTTGTTTGCCGTTAGTTGTGGAAGGTACCACATTGATTGGTACCGGGCATATCCTGGTGGTGGAATGAATAGGGAAGCGGTCTAATCGATGGGGATCGATTAGTGTGTTCACTTGGAAGGTCCCGTGGGTATATGTTTTATTTATATATATATATATATATATATATATATATATATATATATATATATATATATATATATATATATATATATATATATATATATATATATATATATATATATATATATATATTAACATCCTCTGGCCGCCGGCCTACGAACATGGGCACTGGGTAGTGCTTCATTTGTTTTACACCAAAGCAAAGGTCTTTGATCAAAACATATATTTTGGAATCTTACAACCCTTTCTGCTGGCAGCTTGTTTTTCGCTTTATAAAACAAAGAGATTTTGGTCAAGGATGTTTGTATTCTTTTTTATATTTAGGTTGTCTAGCCTTAACACTTTTCCGCTCAACGCTCCTCTTTTCTTGTGAACGATTTCTCCACACTTGACAAGGAAGTAGGAGCATTGTATTACGAGCATCTCTCACAAGTAGGCTTCTAACATAGACCTCTCTGTTAATGCTCCTAGCCAGTTGCCGGACTGCTACAATAGACACTGTCATGTCACATTAGGGTGGTCCGATATGCATAAAAGTTGTCCAAAACCGCGGGAACCGAGTGTTTCCCATAGTTCGTTTCAAGACGATTCCAAAATGGTGCGGCAATCGAAATTTCAGAGAATTTTCGCCTTGCCTCAAATCGATCGAAATTTGAAAGAATTTAGCCAATTTTGTACTTTTTGAACGTTCCCTTATAACTATGGCCCTCAGTTTTATGGGCAATAGGCTGTGCGGGCGACCTTATTTGCGAAGAAAAAATTGCAGCGAACATCACAAAATGTATTATAATCTATTTCAAGAACGAAACGAAAAGATCACATCATGACTTTGTACCGTATGGATTGCAATATATCACGTTAAGTATCACATGTCATGTTCCCAGGATAGGAACCGTTCTGGTCTATGTTTGCCCACATGTGCCCTGGAACGTTAGGTGTAGAACGCAGATGCTATGGCCTATGGTCTTCTTCTGGAAGTCTGGAAACTTGCGTCGGTGGAGCTCTACTCCCTGCAATAGGAACTCCCTGGTCGTTAATCTATTCCAAGAACGAAACGAAGAGATCACATAATGAACTAAGTCCTCTGACCACGTCTCGGGTCCACTCTGCAGCCAGCTGGTCCCGGTTTCGAGCAGCATGAACAGGGTCCAGCTGTTAGGCCCGAGCAGGTCCACCAGTTCAGTGCCCTCATCTACGTCGGGGAAGTCCGGGACTCCCAGCTCGAAGTCATCCGGGACGCGGAACGTCTGCAGTCGCGCCGCCAGCCGCGACTTTTCGTCGACATCCACCTTGTCGCTGAACAGCGAGAAGACCACCAGCTCCTGGGTCAGGTTCCAGCCGTGCCTCCGGAGGACCTTCAGCGCTGTGTCAGCCACGTCACGGTCCACCGCCCTGTATCGCAGTAGCTGTTTCACGAAGTGGGGGTCGTTGACTGGAGCATCTGCCCCAGTCATAGCCGCCGCCTTCAGGAAGTGCGGGACGTACAGCAGGCAGTTGAGCTGGACGACCCTGCGCAGGGCGAACAGCACGACGAACTGCGGGACGTACAGCAGGCAGTTGAGCTGGACGACCCTGCGCAGGGCGGTGATGGTGGCGGCCACCATGATGGCGGCCACCATGGTGGCGGCCACCATGATGGCGGCCACCATGGTGGCCGCCATCATGGTGGCCGCCACCATCACCGCCCTGCGCAGGGTCGTCCAGCTCAACTGCCTGCTGTACGTCCCGCAGTTCCTGAAGGCGGCGGCTATGACTGGGGCAGATGCTC